ATCTCTAGCGTCTCTTCTGCCGAGAGCGCCGGAAGCAACCGTTCCTCTTCCCAGTCCCATTCCTCCGTCTCTTCACCCATTCCTACCTTCCCCTCTGGACCATGCACCGTCGTTCAAGTCTTGCAAGCCCTTCGTACCACACAAGATCACATCCTTCATAGCACCGCCGCGTTCATTGGTGCCGCCCAATATCACTCTCGAGCCTCTCACCCTGCCAGCAAAGGTTACCTCGTTGCTCTTACGAGGGATGTCGTTGACTTTGTCAGGAGGTTATTGGTTATTGCCGATGCCATCCTTGGCAATGCCACCGTCAGAGCTGGCAGAGCCCGAGAAGTCGACATGGCGCTCGTATACAAGACGAGGCTATATGTCGAGATGAATAGGGTGGTTGATGCTGTTCGGGGATTAACTGCGCTCCGACATGATGATGAGAGTGATGCTGGATCGTCTGCCCACGGGGACGCCGACGGCGACGATGAAGAAAAAGGCGTCGCACTCAAACGGGCACATTTGGCCAACAAATGTGCTGGAGACCTGGTACTCGCGCTCAAACTTTGTCTTAGCTTCCGTATGAGCAAAGTGGCGGGTCTCACAGGTGAGGGCGGGCTCATGATCGACATTCCAGAAGAGCTCTCCCAAATTGGCACGACCCGAACAAGTACCGATAGTCAACCCCATTTCATTATCCCCCCACGCAAAACCTTTACAACCATCCCTGCCTCCGCGAGCACGACAACGACCGCGACGACTCCTTCTACCACCCAAAAGTCTCCAGAAATTCGAGCATTTTCACCACGTACCAACGAACGGATTACCAGGACGTACTCTCGTCTGGATAGAGTTAACGGGGGTGCAGTCATTGAAGAGTCTGCTCCTTCTGCAATGTCCACCAGGGCAAGGGCTCTCACCACTCGCAATCCACAGCTGAGCCAGGTTGGTCATTCCGGCCTTCACAAGAAGGCTATCAGCATGATGGGTATGAATTCTGTCTACCGTAACGGCGCAGTGGAAGCGCGTACTATCCAAGAGAGGTTAAGAGCACTTCGCGAGGAGCGACCAGTCCAGTTCAGGCAGTCGCAATCGACCCAGTTCACCGACGACGAAATTCCAATATCGTTCGAGATAGGAAGTCGAGATGAGGAGTCGGATCGCGAGCGACGCCCACTCTTGATGTCAGAGCCAGATGATTCTGACAGTCGCGAAGGAGCAGTCCATGTTGACGCGGATGAGCCTCTGCTCGAGTATCGCCGTGATGTCCGCGACTCTCAAGATGGTACCAGAAAGCCAAAGTCGATTCGTCGGTCCATTGACGAGGTACGACTTTCGTTGGAGCGCGGCTTGACCAAGAGGCCGTCGATGAATCTTCTTGAGCCGGCTTCGCCGCTTGATGGCAACGAGGAGATTGTGGACTCGGAAGATGAGATCATTGAAGAAGAAGAAGAGCCCGCTGAGTCACCTACTGATACAAAAGAAACTCCGGAGACGACCACTATGACTCCCCAACCCGATCAGCCACCCCGACCTGCTCACGCCCCTCCTCCAAAACCGGCTCACCACGATGGCTTTGTTGTCTCAAGCAACGGAAACATTGTCTTCAATAGCGCTGGTGTCGTTGTTGGTGCTACACTCCAAGCGTTGGTCGACCGGATTACTCCTTCTGACGTCTTGTGCGACCAGCAACTTGCATCTTATTTCCTCCTCACCTTCCGCCTCTTTGCTACCCCCGAAGAACTCGTAGATGCCATTATATACCGCTTCAAGAACCCCATGAATGGCACCCAAATGCCTGACAGTGCCGACCCCATGGTGGCTGTTTCAGACGATCAAAGAAACAAGACCTCTGACATTATCCACGCCCGTGTCATCAATTTGATCAAGGAGTGGACAAGAGCCCACTGGTACCCCGCTCGCGACATTGAAGCACTTCCCAAGCTCATCGAGTTTTTCAAAGAGTTGGCCAGCGGGGCCAGTCCTAAGCTTACCAGCACCGCAAAGCGTATGCTTACCTCTCTCGAAGAGATGATGGCGAAGCCAAAACTCGATGCCAAAGCCGGACCTTTCGCCGACTCCTTGGATCGAATGAGGTCTGCCGGTCGACTAAGAGACCAACAACAAGCCCTCAATGCCGCTGCAGCGAACACTACTTTGCCCCCCACTACCCCTATATCGGCAAACCCGGCGTCCGATGCCACTCCTGCACCGGAGCTAAGCAAGAGCCTCTTGAACAAGCTCAAGGCGAAGCAATTTGCTTCTCTATCTCCTACTGATTTTAGCCCTATCGAGATGGCGAGACAGCTCACCCTACTGGAATGTCGTCTCTACTGCTCCGTACCTCCGGAGGAGGTCCTCGAGATTGGCATGAGCGGGAAGAAGACGCCCAATGTCAAGGCCCTCAGCACTCTTAGTACCGCTATCACTGGATGGGTCACTGACCTGGTCCTCAAAGAGGGTCTTGATGTTAAGAAGCGTGTCGCCATCATCAAGTTCTTCCTCAAAGTCGGAAAGGTCCGTTATACCAAATCCTCTATATTCGTAAAACTCATCATTTAACAGGAGTGCCTCAATTTGAGCAACTTTAGCACGCCCCGTTCCATCATGGCTGCTCTTGGGTCAACGCCGGTCTCCCGACTCCGATCGGTTTGGGCTGTGAGTATAAGTTTCGTCACAAATAGTTCATTGTCTAAAACTACTTCAGGGAATTTCACAAAAACATCGAGCTGTATTCCAAGAGATGCACGACTTGCAAGATTACAGCCGCAACTCTGCTCGTTACCGCGAGAGGCTCCGCCGTACTGTGGCGCCTGCCGTTCCCTTCCTTGGATTAATCTTGACCGATGTGACCTTTACGCGAGAAGGGAATGGTGCCCATAGACCATCTCCTGCTGATTCCAACAAGATGCTCATCAACTTCAATCGGTACAACCGACTTGCCAAAATTCTGGGTGGTATGTGTCTTTTTGCTCAAGGTGACCAACAAAACCTAATCACAACGTACAGATATGATCCGACTACAGCAACCGTATAGTCTTAAAGAAATCCCCGAGGTTCAGCAATACCTCAATTTCATTTTGGATCCCAGTCGCATGACAGCGGATGAGGAGGTGCTCCACCGTCGCAGGTACGTATATCATGTTACTAACAAGACATTTGGACTCATGATATTGCTCACAGTCGTCTCATTGAACCACGTGTTGAAGATGACAACAGGCAAGCGAAAGGAACTGATATCTTCGGATGGGCCTCCAACTTCGGATCCGTTCGAGGCAATCCAATGGTCTCTCTTTAAACGGAGCTGGTTGCTGATGTCGAATACGACTCTCACCTTGTTTCATTTTCCTCCAGTATCTATTCATCAACATGGTTACTAACCACTCGAAATTCCGTTTGTCGTCTTTCGCCATTATCGTGACCGCTTTTCTGCCATCTCTAGTCTTTTGTCATCCAAGTTTCCTCGCATTTTCTCCTCACATTGCATCATTGTTTATGTCTCGTCATTTCACACCACTTTGTCCGCGTCTATCCTAACAGACTATTTGGTTTCTATATGGGTCATTTCTCATCATGTACTGTATTTGTTTTCTAGACGGTTCTCGTGGCCATAGGAATTTTAGGATATTCCTCTGATTCGTTGGACTCGACTGTGAGAGAAATACTTAGGAAATGCAATGACAATTGGTTAGTGGAAGACGTGAACGAGCCCAACTTGGTTTCGACCACATTTCACGACTATGGGGTACGCTACATACGCAACCTTAGGGCTACCCACAGCAATTGCAACAACTGTCGGCCTTTACCTGGTATTGACAGGTCAGTAATGTTGAACGTGCCCAGGTGCGAAGTCGGTGCACCGGACAGCTGGGCCAAGTTACGCGTGTTCGCTAATCGTTCTTTTGCTTCCTACAAATAGGTAAAGGGGAAAGATTCAACGTCGGAGCGTTTTTAGAGGAGACGAGCCCATATGCGTGGTCTTCGCTCGGTGTTGGTCTCTGTCTCGGCCTGAGCGTCCTAGGAGCTGGATGGTCAGCGCTCGCGAAAGAATGATATTCGATAGCGTGTTAACAAGAGTCGTTTCTAGGGGTATTTTCTTGACTGGAGCCTCGATCCTGGGAGGGGGTGTACGTGCACCGCGAATAAGGACGAAGAACTTGATCAGGTTTGACTATCTATGCACCTATTATTCTATTCTAATCATTGTTTTGCAGCATTGTCTTTTGCGAAGTCGTGGCCATCTACGGAGTGGTACGTCGCGCGAGGACTGCTCACGTACTTTGATCATTAACTCCAAAAATAGATCATGTCTATTGTTTTCGTTCAGAAAACGCCTGTCGCGGTACCGGAAACGGAGCTATATACGCCATCCAATTACTTTACTGGTCCGTGGCCTTCACGGCACCTCTTTGCCTCTTACAACAGTTGCTGAATACTCGCTAGGCTTTGCTCTGTTCTGGGGAGGTCTAACAGTAGGCCTCTGCAACCTCTTTTGTGGTATTGCAGTTGGCATGACTGGTTCCACTGCCGCAATTTCTGACGCGGCTGACCCGACCTTATTCGTTCGCATACTCGTCGTCGAAGTTTTCGCGTCGATCATGGGGCTCTTTGGGTTGATCAGTAAGTGCATGTCTGTTTGTTTGTGGGACTCAACTGATGCATTGCACCTCTTGCTCGGCTTCACTCTACTTAGTTGGTCTTCTTGTGGTAAGTTGCCGTTTTCAAATTGTATCAATCTCATTATCATCAACAGGGTGGAAAAGCTGGAAATATCGAGTAGTTGTACCTTGTTATCAGATTATTAATGTGTTATTTCCCAATCTCCCTTGGATATGTGAAATATTCAGAAATTTGTGACTGTCTGATCAGGCAATGATGGTATATATGTAATGGACTTTGTTAAAAACATACTTGAGCCATGCTCTTGTCCAGTGTGGCATGACATACGCTATGGCTGGCCACTAACCCTAATGTCACTTCTAAATTCAGGGGGCATTTGTGCCTTCCATTGAAGGCCTTTTGAAATACTGAAAATAGAAATAGTAAGCATTCAATTTATGCTCTGTGTGAACAGATACTACAGATCCTGCAGGAGATACATGGGGCAATAGGGGCTTTCTCACTTTCTCTATCAATTCTAGCTCTCCTGAATCCAATCTGAGAAGTCTCTATGCAGCTTTTGTAAACTAGGACCAGCATATTTGGCTGAATAGACCTGAGTTTCAAAAAAAAAAAAAAAAAGAATATGCACAAAGAATGCTACAGTGAATACAAAGTATATGCTACATCTTCTACTAGATCAACTCAATCATGAAGAGCCCATTAAAACCTTATACTAATCAGAAAGTTCAATATATTCCATGCTAGGTGCAGAAGAATCAGAGAGGTCAATGACCTCCATTGACTCTGATATCTCCCTACTCTTGTCCTGTTTCCTTGCCCTTGTACCTTGACTTGATGAGGAAGATTGATTAATGTTGAGAGGGGCACCCCTGAAGGAGGTGAAGGAAGAGGTGGGTTTTGATGGATTAGAAGGCTTCTAGAAGGGTACACAAAGCTTATTAGTCACATACTTGTCATCTAGTCAATATTATCTTACCTTTGGAGTGTAACTTAGAGGGGAGATAGGATATTCAGGGGTTGAATGCCTTGGGCTGGACTCAGAGTCTTCAGGGCTACTGGCTGAGCTCATTGAGGAGCCCTGAGTCCATATATTAAGTTCCCTTGCCTTCCCTTTACCCTTGAAGAAATGGAACTCTAGTCTGTCCTCTGTTCTCCTCCTCTTGTGTGTGACATTATGGAGCTCAGTGGAGGCCTTCCTTTTACCCTCAGAGGCTGATATGAATCTCTTTAGTGGAATGGGTGTATTCTTGGATCCAGAGGCTGACATTCCTTTTTGGGAAGGGGTGGCAGGTGGCTCAGGCTCAACATGAAGGGGAGGGGAGAGGGATACTGGGGGCTTTGGAGAGACATTTGTCCCATTGGAACTAGTGGAAGTTGTTGAGACATGACGAGAGCATGATGAATCCCTTCTAGGAGTGAGTTGCAATAGAGAAAATGCATAGAGAGCGTTCTGGCTTAGTGACTCCATATCTTGGTGAGATGGAGTACTCTCTGAAGTCTCTTCAGAAAGGGGGATGAAAGAGCGCATTTTTTGGGGCAATATGGAGGGAAATAGAGGGGTGGCAGGAGGAGCAGCTTGTGTACTTGAGTGTTGAATCCATGCATTTCATTGGTTTATATCTAGAGGCTTTACATGCCATCAAAATATTAGGAATTATCATTCTTTGGCACCAGTAATGACTAGAGGACATGTATTGAGCGGTTACCATATAAGGAAATCTTTCACCACCTGCCAAGGGGCTAGCACAATCAGAGTGCTGAATGAAGGATGATGACCATGTATCTGTTTACCAAGTATTTACAAGTGGCTAGCTAAGTCAATGAGAGGGTGAGGGGTAAAAGGGTGTGTGTGAGAGGTATGAGTGGTAGCTGTGTGTGTGGGAAAGGCAAGGGGGAAAGGAGAGCACTGAGGGTCTCTGAAAGATCTTTTAGGAGAAGATATCTCAAAGTTGGGGGTTAGAATGTCCCTTATGTGTTCTGGTGAAGGTACAAGTGCCACTGACCTAGGGGAATGGGATCCAAACCCTTTAGATGACTCAAAGAAATGTAAAATCTTCTAAGAATGTTAGAGGAATAATTTTCAAAGTTTAAAGCGAATGCAAGACAGTAAAGTGTCACAGTAGCCCGGGTGGTAAAGGTGGCATAGCCACCTGCTATACGACTGCCAATAGAAAAACTTAGGCCACAGAAGGAAAAGTATTGGTTGAAAAAAAAGAGTAATATTGTAAAATATATCCAAACACCATCACAAACATAGAAGAAAACTGTAAAGACCAAGTAAAAAACAGAGAACCAGAACAAATTCACAAGCCATCTATTGGGTGGTAATGAAGCGCTGGTTGGGAAGAGAGGAGGTATGGATAAGAAGGGGAGAGAGGGCGACTAGGAGGAACAGGAACGATGTAGGATACCCGAGACAAAATAATAGGATAAATAAAACTTTATAAAACCCAAGCAGCACGATAGGGTAAGATGATTCATACCCGACCAGTCGCTGGATTGAATCAGTGTATCCATCAAACGTGTGTTCTTCCTTGAAAGTAGTCGCACTCCGGGTGTCGTTGTCGTCGTCGGAAGAGATGGTTTGGAAAGCAATGAATGTGGGGTGGTATAAGGAATGACAGGGCCTCCGACGCACATAGCGAGGGCGGAGACGGGTGGTCGGAGTGTAAAAAGGTGCAGAAAACCCTAGGCAGTTATGATGAACGGTGAACGCAGATGTCTTGGTTGTGCGCGCGAGAGAGCCGTAGGTCGGTGGAAAAAGGTTTCGTTGGCAACTGGTGTTGGCGGTCTTAGAGTCCATTGGGGGGGGCGGGGCCATTATATTTCGCAGTGTTGGTGAAGGGAGGTTTTGTGTACGTATTGTTTTAGTTGGTACAAACGATGAAGGGGGGGAGGGTTGGCGGTGGGAGGGGGATGAGGGTGTGAAGGAAGAGATTACGCATTTTGCAACGATTACCAGTTGCCCATGCTACTCTCCCTCAAGATGGGTTGCGAGATAGGTTGACCAACGACGAGCCTTCGTTGTCCATGGCCATTGTTCGAGTTACCACCTCCCCATCGAGCACCTCCGCTACCTCCACTGCCAGATCGGTGGAGTGCCGTCGCGCCACCACCAACACCACCGCTGTAAGTGCTGTTGCGATGAGAGAGATAGTCGAATGTTTCCTCCTCGATGCTTGCGTCGTCGGGACCGATGGCGTAGAAGCTGTTGCGGCGGATTCCACGGGCTTCTTCCTCCCTCTCGCGCTCCGTCATGAAGGGGTTGTGCAACATGGGAGGAGATTCAGCGCGAGTAGCAGTATAACCACCGACTTCAGTCATGCCGCGCCCGGTGGCACCATAGTTGGCCGTACCACCGTACGAGAGACGCTTGTGCATACCCTCGCGGCGTGTGCGGTAGGTCCTTACACCCCACCAGATGAGGACGACGAGAGCGATAATACCAAAGGTGACGGTAACGCCAATGATGGCGTTGCGTCGCGAGTTGTCCGTCTTGGTATTGTTTGAGCTTGGCGTGGTGCTGGATCCGTTCTCGTTGTTGACACCTTCCAAGGAAGCAATGTCGTAGGAGGCGACGACGTTTTGTGCAATAGCCTTGGCCACGGCATTGTCGGTTTGGTAGAATGGCGAGCTGAGTGTACGGATCATTGACTACAAAAATAATATCTGATCAGGAGATGATCACACATATCCGGCTATTATTTTACTTACTGCAAGAGTGGAAACTTTGTCACTCGGGAGGAACGCAACGAAAAGAGTCATCAAATCGTTCTCGGTGCGATAATCGTCCGGAATGAACGCCTGCAAGCCAACAACCTTTACATCATCACCAAGAAGCTCCAAAATTGACGCCACATGGGAAGGAAGATAGGCGAGAATTTGACCAGCAGTTTCTGAAGAGGAGAGCACGTATTTCCAGGAAAGGGTAGATTTCTGGAAAAGGATGGCAATCTTTTCAGAACCGTCAATGGTTGAATCTGCCGCCACGGGGTCGGTAGAAGGTGGAGGAGTGATAAACATTGGTATTGTGCTCGGAATGGAGGGCATGGTAAGCGTCGTGGCGGCTCCACCAGTGGGTATAGTAGTAGGAGTGGCAACCTCATCCGGGTCTGTAATGGTCACAGAAGTGGTGCTAGTCGCATTTACCGCATTAGGATCCAACACGAGGGTAGTAGCCGACAAGAAATCGTATTCGGTCTCGATCGTTAGCGGTGGGCGGCTCGTGCTGTCGATGATGGTGGTGGTGATGCTTGGGATGCTAGCCGTTTGGGTTGGGAAGACATCCGTGGGATCCAAAACACCACCAGAGGTAGTAGACGAGACGGTCACGGTGTTTGAGTTTGAAACTGGCGGATCGGGATCCTGAGGGACCGAGATCGTAGACGAGCTCGATGGTCCATCTGTCGGTGGGGTCTCCACTGGTGGCTCACTCGTAGAAGAGGAAGTGGAGGGGTCCACTGGTGGGTCGGTGATCGGGAGATCAACACTCAGCGAGATCGAGATGAGAGGACCATCGGTGGTTGTGGGAGTTGGATCTGGAGTCTGCACCGGAGTGTCTGAAGTGGTTGTGGTGTCGGTGGTAGGGTCGGGAATAAGAGGAGGCAAGGAGATTGATATTAACGGCCCATCTGTGGTGGTCACGACCACTTCCGAGGAGGTCGTCGCCGGAACAGTCGAACTCGGGCTAGATTCCGGGTTCGTTGGAGGATCCGACGGCTTCTGGGTATCAGAAGAGGTGTTCGACTCGGTTATTGTAGCCGTGTCGGTTGTCGAAGGGGCAGACACCGTGATCACGGTTGGGGGTCCTAAAATAATACAACACAATAGTCAGCTAACCCGAACACAAACCAATCCGAAACGATAGAAGCATCAAAGCGGGGGGATAGGGAAGGAATCGCCAGCAGGGGAGGAAGTCGAAGGCGATCAAACTAAGGGACCTGCGCACAAGGCACATCTGTCAAACAGCCCGAGACTCCGGCCATACCGAAATACGCGACGAGTGCTTGCTCGAGGTCTCGCCAGCATCGACAACAAGCAGGTGTGACAAGACGTATGATAGCTGCCTTGGGTAGAGAGTGGCACGGTCACACCCTGATGTGCGCCCAGGTAAGGAACGTCGAGAAGGCGGTCCATTCTCACGAAGTCGCCATTGAGTCCCGAGGGAAAGAACAAAACACTCATACGTAATGCACGTCCCAAATCACTCCAGGAGAGTGGTCACTCCCGGGGGTGTTGCATCCTGAAACTGATAGGCGTCGCAGGCCCTCATGCACCCCAGGCGAGTGCTTCGCTGCCTTGAGCAGCACAGTTATCGCATAGATAGCCGTAATAGATCAGATTGGGCACCGTTTGGGGTACGCGCTATAGCGGGGAATGCAAAGTCCGGGACAGATGTGTCGTGAACGTATGCGCCAGCATGCATATACGAAAAGGAAATGAGCATTCACGAGCCACTACTCACCATCTTGAGTTGAAGAGGAGGAGCTCGAGTCTCCTGGCAAGCCAAGGTCGATGTCGATTTGCCTTCTGTACCACGGAGTATCTAGGGCGTCCAGCGGGCCTCGTCGATACTGTGGGACGCTTCTTTCCACAGCAGCAGGAGCTCCAGCTACAGCATCAGCAACAGAAAGCAGTGGGGCGATGGTCAGGAGGAGTATGTTGAGAGGTTTCATCACTTGTCGGTCGTAGGGTCGTCCAGATACAGCGCGAGTAAAACCTTTCAACCGCAAACGAAGCCTTGTTCTAAGGATACGAGAGCGTTGGAGGAGAAATAGATAATAGGGAAGGAGGCCAAAAGAGCGTGGGTGTGGATTTCAGGGCGAGTGCCTTTAGAGGATAGCAGGGCGATGCGAAACCTCTAACCGATGGATGGGTTCGAGGCTATTCCCTGCTAGAGTTTTACAAATTGTTGGTGGTGTGTACCGGGGATTTTTTGAAATATTATGGACGCCTGAATAGTCTATGCGCCAGCGTTGCCAAAGACGGGAGAGACCAAGACCTGGAACACAAAGCAAACCGCGCTTGGACCTGAAGACCTCTCGAACCGGCCTCGCCCTTGTTTCTCCTTAATGAAAGTTGAAAGGCACTTCAACTCTTCCGTCGCCTATCTCTTTTCGTTTGAGATATCTCTACAAATTCTCTTAGCACGGCCATCATAGTCCGCTTTGGTGGGTAAATTTTGAGCCCAGCGCACTTGATCCGCCAAAATCTTC